GTAATGGAATTTTCACTGTTAACAGAATATCTACTGTTCCTGAGGTCTTTGATGGCTAAGTTAGTCGCATTTTCATTTTTCTTTTGTAGACTGCATCTGTTTTTGATTGCTGCTATCCTAATTGAAGTGTGCTGTTCCTTTATTTTTTTCAGTCACAGGGGAAGACTAGTAGAAACATCTTCAAAGGGAAGGGGAAGGTCAAGGAGCCAAAGTCCTCATCGAAGGTAATGGTCTGTCTCCAGAATATGTGTATTAAATGAGTGGGTCTACCAAACAATCATTATGTATTTTAAATATCAATGTGATTTGAACTTTTTAAGCTAACATTCAGGTCAGTTGGTCATTCTAGTCTTATGTTTTTAAGTGAAGTGCTCCTTATAAGTTAGTAGTGAATGATGGCATTAATCATGGCCTGGTAAAGCTTTCTTTTTAATCATGCATCAATAAGGCAAGCTATAATCCTTTCATTCACCTACTGCCCATGTGACAGACAATTTTCTTTATTAAAATTAGTTTTTACATTATCCTTGAACATATATTTGCCATTGTTGCTCTTAAGATTGAGATATCACTTCATCTCTTTGAACCTTTGATCTAGCTAAATATGATATCTTTGGATTTTTATGAATGATACAAAATCTTGATCTTAACTTTTCCAAGTTTGGACCTAGTAAAAGAGATTATATGACTTCATTTTTACCTCCTAATGACAGTGTAAGGGACTTGCTAGCTGTGTCAAGCTATGGATGTTTTTTAGAAAAGAACTGCAATATCTTGATGTTTGATGGCTCTATCTCTGTAAATGAGAAAGGAGGTTCTCACATCATTTGTGTTTTGAAGAGCTAAGAGACAAGGAGACTGTTAATATTTTTCAGATTGTTTGGTCAGTGTTAGAGGCCTGTTATTGCATTCTAATCATATTGGTCAAAATTCTGTTGTTGGAAATGCAAAAGAAATGGAAGGGATGAATGTAGAGAATGCATTGAGAACTGAAAAGTTGAATTACATATCCGTAAAGAATTAGTTGAGCTTTTGATGCATTAGGATCTGTGCAATACTCATTAGTAGTTGGAAAGTATGTGACAGTTTTAACGTGATTACATTTGGTGTCAGCTATTGAAGGGTTATTTTCCCTTCTCTTAATATTTTGATTCTGAATGTGACTTATTTGTCTGAAATCTGACTTCAGTTTCTGATGGACAACATTTTCAGTTATCACGATGAATATAGGGATAGGGAGAATAGGAGGAGAAGTCGTAGTAGAAGAAGGGATAAATATTATTGTGACAGGTACCAGGGCAGGGAAAGGGATGATCATCATTGAAGCATGAGCCGGAGCATCAGTCCTGATCACCAGTCATCGTGGCAGGAATGATCAGCAGGGCCAGTCTAATGGAAGGTAGCAACTTTGCCTTCTATTCACATCTTTTTTTTTTTTTTTTTCATCAATAAATTTTTGCCTTCCTTCATCACCTATTTTTTTCTTATTGGGTGGTTAAAATGCCTTTCCACCTTGCTATAGCCCGAACTCTAGGAGCCAATCTCCTTGCAGGACACATCATGGATTTGAGAATCCTGATGAACACAATGGTAACGATGATTCTCCTGGACCAAGAAGTGTTTCACCATGTGGCTGGCGTGCCGATTCTCAAAGCATGTCTCCTCATAGGTCCTATAGTGATGTGAGTAGCTGTACCAGATTTTGACCTATTAATTAACACGTTCCAAAAATTGTGCTAATCCTTTCATACTGGCATTCTCCGTTTTGTAGGAATGATGGCTAAATGCCATGTCCTTAAAGCATCACATCCGAGTGAGTTGGACTTAACTGGTTCTGCAATGCAGAAGAAATATTGAAGTAATGCTTATTATCAGCAAAATATTGAGTTATAGAGTTGGCTGCAAGTAGTGTTTATTGAATTTTAAGTTTCTTTGTTGAAGTTACTTTGCTAAAAATGTATGAGTTCTAATCTTTATCAGTTGATATTTTCTGATTTATGCTTGTTACTTGAGAAACAAATTGCGTTGTTGATGTATTTTTGTGACAAGCTCGCAAGTATTTATTCAAGATCTTTGCTCTGTACTCTTTTTTAGGCCCTTCAATGAATAAATTTCATCGTTTTATAATTAGTATAAATTTCCTTGATTTGGAAAATCACAGTAGAAAAACTTCATTTCCTAATCCTGTTTGAACTGTTCTTATAAAGACGAAACCCCTTTTAAGATAGTGGGCGTTTCTAAGATGGTGGGTACACACCACCCTCCCCCGCTATATGCCGGTCAATAGAAAAGTCAAAATGTAAAAGATCAAAACTATAATGTGTGAATGAAGAAGAGTCATCTATTTTAGTTCTTGCGTCTTTCTCCAAAATAAATTGTGCGGTCAAGACCTTTATAGAAAAAACGAGTCAGGTTTCAAAGAGGCAACGACTTTGCCCGAAGAAGGGGTTAGACAAGTTGACTGAAAAGTAACACTGTGATCTTTCTCATTATTATTTCTGCGAAAAAATGCCAAAGAGCCTCACTCACGGCAAATGGACTCCAAGCCCAAATAAAGGGATTAGAGAAGTTGACTCAAAAGTAACTTGTCATGTAGCTACTTATTGTCTCTGCAGAAACATCCAAGGAGTTTCACTTACGGCAAAGTCTTCTACTCGCTGGTGCTTCTCACCTTGACTCAAGAAGTACAGCTTTGTGTTGCTTTCAAAACAGTAGCTGGGTTTTAACCTGTATAAATAGAGGTTTAAGCATCCCCTGCTTTGTGTAAAATAGCAAACAGAGATCATGGGAACCCACACCTGCAACAGGGTAACCTCCCTTGTTTTCCTTGTTTTGTTTGCTTCTTTACATTCTTCACTTCCCCTTGCTTCTGCCTCTAGTGAAGAAGCAAATGCTCTTCTCAAATGGAAATCCAGCCTCCAAAATAAAAGTCAGTCTGTACTATCTTCGTGGACTCTGCTTCCGCACAATGCAACCAACTCCAAACCAAGCACCGGTCCCTGCACCTGGTTTGGAGTTTCTTGCAATGCCCAAGGAAGTGTTGCTAGAATGAATCTTAGTGTTTCTGGTATATCAGGTACGCTTGATGAGTTTCCTTTTATGTCTCTCCCTGATCTCACACATGTTGATTTCTGTATCAACAATATGTCTGGGGTTATTCCACCTCAAATTAGCTACCTTTCCAAGCTTGTCTATCTTGATTTTTCCATCAATCAATTTTTTGGGACAATCCCACCAGAAATTGGCCTGCTACAGCATCTTGAGATCCTCCACCTTGCTGAGAATCATTTCAACGGCTCATTTCCTCAAGAAATAGGTCAGCTGAAGTCTCTTAAGGAGCTTGATATGTACACCAACAACTTAGAGGGTCCCATACCTGCATCTGTAGG